TAATAATTAATTTATTTGATAAATTTAAAATTTTCTAATCCCTAGTTGGTTATGTACTTAAGTTCACCTTTTATGATAACTCTAAATAAATTTCTTAAGAATTGATTTTCAAAATAGTATACTTTACTTAAGCCTTAACTTGGATTTTATTTAAAATAATAAAATTTTTGCATGCTTAACTTAGAGTTAAAAATATTTTTTTTCAAAGTGTCTTGATTTACATATTTTCAAAATATATATACATATACAAAAAAAATTTGCAAAAGAAGAGTGCAAAAAATGGGCACCAAAAAGAAAAAAAAACTCTTGAATTCGAGGTGATTCTATCTTATAAAGCCTAAACTGACCGAGTAATTAAGCCCAAGGAGTATTTCCATACTTAATGACCTAAGCCCATTTGGGTTGGGATCCATTGGCCCAAAACTCGTTAAATGGTTACTTAGAAAGCCCGTTAAAGTAAAAAAAATCACCAAGGAAGAAAGAGTTAAAAAAATAAAAAATAAAAAAAACTAATAAATGTTTTATAGTTGTATATATGGTCTTGGAAAATATTTTAAATCAAGCAACTTGAAAATTATTTAAAACAAAGAGTTAGCATGTTCTTTTCAAAACTTTTAAATTAAATTTCTAAGTTTGGCATGGTTTTGTATTGCTACAATAAGAAGATTTTCTTGAAAATATATCTTAGAGTTATATATAAAAAAATGTTTTCTTGAGTGATAACTGGCTCCTATTAGATTATCTAAAAGTTATCAAGTGAATTTAGTTATTTGCTGACTCCTTTAATTTGGCAAGTTGACCGAATTTTGTGGGTATATTCACTGCAAACCCTCACGAGACTACAACTCGTCCACTAGGGTAACCTAGGGGTTTAAAGGCTTGTTGTATGCGCTAAATACAATCACGATTCCTGTGAAAGTGAGTTAGGATTTTCTTTTTATTTTCTTTGCTAGAGGACTAGCAAAAGTTTAGGTGTGGGGTATTTGATAATCACATTTTATTATAATTTTATACCCTCATTATCTATTTTATATGAATAAATATACCACTAATAATTGCTTTTATCTTTAATTACAGGTTAATGAAGAATAAATCCCAAAAATCTCATCTCTCAACAAAGGCCCTTGAGTAAATGAAGAAATAAGAGAAATTCAAGAAGCCAAATAAAATATTTGAATTTTAAAGGGTCAAAAGCCCAAATATCCTAAAATTTCCAAAAGAAGCCAGCACAAACTCAAGGCCCAAAGCCCATCAACAAATCCCTACACCCATAAGCTCTCAAGGCTGCTGGAGATAGAATTGATTTTGAATTTTTCCCATGACCGGTTGCTGCAGAAAATTAAATGGGTCGGACTTTAGGCTGCTGGAGATTTAATTTTGAAAAGCACATGGGCCGGACTTGGCATTGTGTGCAGATGTTGATCAAATGAAAGGGGACCGGCCTTGATTTAATTTTGAAAATCAATGAAGCTCAATGGGCCGCTGCAGATGTGGATTTTCAATTTGGATGGACTGGATTTGATTTAATATGAATGGTTGCTGAAAATTTGGATGGACCGGACTTGGATTTGAAAATCATATGGGCCTCCTATGTTAGGCTAGAGAAGAAAAAAAAGCAAATTCAAAGGTGGAGATTGCTTTGCTTGGGGCTCAAGACAAATCCAATGGCTCATATTCATTGATGATTACTATAAATAGGGATAGAGAGTGAGGGGTTAAGGGTGTAAAAATTTTTATAACTCCTTTTGGAGAGGAGGGCTACTCTTAATTGAGAAAGTCTTCCAAATTTGTAACTTTTTGTTACAATTAATAAAATAATTTTTTCACCACTTTAAATTTTTCTCTTTTTCTCTTTGTTGGATGATGAAGATGAAGATGAAGATGGAGATTAATTTGAAGGTTTGTTTTTCCTATTCCTCTTTTATTGCTTATTAGTTTAGATTTATTTTCATGCTTGTAATTAGATTTTATTTTCTTGTTTAAATAGCCAAGAGGCTAGAACCCTCTTGCCTTAAATTTATTTCATGCTCATAGATTAGATTTATTTCATGCTTATAGAGTAGATTTATTTTCTTACATTTAATTCTTGTAATTTATTTTGTAGTTTAGATTTTGTAATTTATTTTGTAGTTAGATTTTAAATTCTTGCACTATTCACCTTAAGGCTAGAACCCTCTTGGGTTTAGTTTTTCTTTTTGTTTATTTTTACTTTCTTTGATTCGCCTTTAGGCTAGAACCCTCTAGGGAATCACCTTTTTCTAAGAAGTGAATTCAATTCTAGATTACCCATATCTTTAATTGAATCCGTTATCTTTACATTCTTGATTTTTTATTTGTTTCTCGATTTTATTCATTCTTCCTTCTTGCCTTGTTGATCATATTTATTTTTTACTCACATCCACTCTCAAAAACATTGATTTACACACCATCACTTTCACTCTCATTATCTCTCCACAATCACATTCACTCATCACTCCTATTTGTCACGCACACAACATAAGAGCCGATTTTATATTTTCTCCTACAAAACACCTTCCTCGTGGGATCGATATCTTTATACTATAACTTGACACGGTTGTGCACTTGCAACATTTTTTGGTACATGTTTATGCCGCATCACTTACCCTGCTGCTAAGACTCTCTAGATTCCGCAATAGGTCTCTTGCCCTTGCCATTGTCATTATGCTGGTCATAATTCTATAATTAGCTATAGACATATCTCCCTAATTTAATCGGACTAGCTCTAACTGATTATCAAAGAAGCAACCAAAATTCTCCCAAATAAGTGGTATTCGCTGCTCCAGTAAAAATCTAAAATCGGTGCCATCCTTCGGTGCTATCTCCCGGTGATACCCTCTACGCTGAATACATTTAACTTCTGTTTTAGTACTGAGTCGACGTTAAGAAACTTTCACATATTTCTTCCATTTATAGATTGCACATGAATCTGATGTGCCCTAAAACTATGATACTCTCTGTGTCTGATGTCTTTCTTATTCTTAAAGAGCTAAGTCTCCTGCTCTATGGCTTTATCAACAGCTAGTTGTGGTGATGGTAAAATTATTAGTATTGCCTCTTCAATAGGCACGATTGGTAAAACTGGTGGTGGAACTCTAGAAAACGTAAATGAGATCGCTCCTCGAGTGTTGCTAGTCTCTACTTCTGTAATCGGCGTTACCGAGTCGATCAGATACTATGGAGCCTGCTGCGGCTTGGGCTCTGCTTGTCTAGCTCTCCGGGTACGAGTTTTACCTCGACCGCATCCTCGTCCCGACATTTATAATATTAAGAGGAGAGCTTAGTATACACAGTAAATGAGATCGCAAACATATATACATAACATAATGTATCACATAATATTCACGCAAATACTTTTCAATCAAAGTAAGGTAATCATAAAAAAATTCATAATTTTCGAGGTAAACGTATTACGTCCTCGCTCATTCTAGGAATTGCTAGCGGACTCTATACATGAATCCTAAGAAACCAAACATTGTCAAAAGAGTTTGAGGGGGAGTGTTGACGATCAAACTCTCTTGAATTTCCTACAAATTATTAAAATTCTTTAGTCCTAGAATTTTCTAGAGAATTTTCTAAGTAACATGGTAATTAGTGAGAATCTAGAATAGTCCATAAGATTTCTCTAAAAATAGTTTCTAAATAGTCTAATATTTTCCATGAAGATTTTGTAAAAGTGTAGAAGTGTGTAGAAGTATAGAAGTGTGTAGAAAGCGAATATTGTAGAAGCACCATGGGTGCCCATAAATACCCCATGAGAGGGCCTCGTAAAGCATCAAGTTGAGAGAAGATTTTTTAGAGACACTAGTTGTAGAAACCACTATTTCTAATACAAGTCTCTTTTTTTCATTCAAGCCCTAGCTTTCTTTCTCTAAAATTCCATCCATTCTATAAATTTCTTGTACGCATTAAAGTAGCCTCTCCAAATTCCTATCGATTTACTATTATTTTGAGCATAGTTGTAATTTATTTGTTGGTCCCATGTGGCCGTTTCTTTTGAATTTAAGATGCATTGAATGATAGAGTAATATTTTGTTGGTGCTTTGTTTCTGTTAATGACTACATTAATGCTAAATAGCTGTTAAATACCTCATAGTTTCATTCACTTAACACTTATATATTCTAACTTGTTTTTCGTAACATTAATATACCCAAAGTTGCTTTTTGGCATGTTGGTATCTTCTATCAATCAAACGTGAAATATTTTCATCCGAGTAGTCCTCCATGATACTTATAGGCTAGTTTTAAAGCTTTCTAACCATTATTGTTAAGCTGGTGCTGTGTCTAATTTAAATTAGAATTTTTTGGTAGATTTATTAGTAAGTTTAATAATAATAATAATACTTAAAAAGGCACTATAATTATCTTGTAAGACACTATATATAATTATCTTGTAAGTAGCATAGAGAAGCCCTAGAATAAAAAATTTCACATTTGCATGATTGACAATACTAGCATATCAATTTTAAATAACTTAGGATTTATAAATCCTACGAAAAAAACAAGTGAGGGCATATAAAAAGTGAGTGAAACTATAAGACATTTAAGTGCTATTTAGCCTAACATTAATCTTACCTTCAATATATTTTGAATAGGATTAACATTAATGTTACCTTCAATGTATTTTGAACGCACTTGTTCTTTTTCAACAACCAAAATTGGCTTGACTTTTGATACCAATTTATCTGTAGCTTCCACCTTTTCATCTAAGATTAAGGATTTTCTGATAACGGGTTGAACGAATACTTAAGCGATTTTAATTAATCACGATCTGTGTTGTCAAATAATTTTTCAATCAATGTCAATCGAATAGGATTAACTAATACTAACACAAGCAAGTATTTGCAGATGGGAAACCTTGATAGGGTCAACGCGCTCGGATCTACCTTTTCTCTTGTTTTTATTCTTAAGCAAAATGGTTTTGAAAGGTAAATTGTATCCATTTTTTTTCTCTCATTTGGTATTGAAAATGAATAAATTAGGAGACATCAAGCGAGAAAGCTAGTACAATAGCGTGTGAATGATATTTTTACAATGTGATTTATTCCAAAGGATGAAGGGGAGAAAACGTAATTAGAAATATAGATCGAAGTGCAAATACAAACGAAAATACGAAATGGTAAGTGATCTATCTTAATTTAGAGCTCCACTCTAAAGGTCACTTCTATTATAATATTTATTTGTTTACTCAGCTATTAGTTGATCAGTGGTCTGTTGATCAGACTTCAAAGTTTACTGGATACGGCAAGATACTTGGCATGACGACCTTGAGCTATGAGCTTCCCGGTCTTCTTCTCTCTCAGCTCCACCATAGCAACTCCAACTCTCTTTCCCATTCGCAAAACCTTTGCTTCAATCTCAATCTCATCCTACATTGAAGAATCAGGACTAATCAGCCACCTAATTCAGCGGATGTAGTACTTACTATATCCTCATCCTCTAATATATATATATAGTTTGACACTATAATAGGAATACAACATGAATCTTACATAAAAAGTTATCGTTCATATCTGTCAAAATTGTATACGGATACAAATCAGAAATTGGGAAAACATTAGAAGATTGACATATCTTAGATCGCCAACATATCTAAAAAATTAAGGTTACATCTCTAGATAAACTACTATTATAACCACTGATCTATCGTTGAAATAATTTACCATCTGATCCTTTCTTAGATCCTGATCAACAGATCCTACTTAATTATATTCATATTAATTTGTATTAGATCCTACCAAATTATTATGTTTGTTCCATGCTCTAACGGATATAGATATTTATATTTAACACTTGTATATGCATCGTACATATCAGATAAGAATATCGATACGTCCGTGGATATCTCTATCCTTTTAATTGACATCCTAGGTCAAGACTAGAATAATAAGATTACTAAGCCAATATCAAGGCGAGATATTATCTTCCACAAGTTGTCTGCAGTTCATGCACCTTGAAGACAAGATGGCTAGACCCATTACCCTAAATATTAAGGCTTAATTAAATATGAAATGTTAGGTAACGCGCTGACCCAAAAATCTTGATATCTTGGTCAGTCAAGTTACCAATGCACGTATTAGCTCGCTCATCTATCCGTATATTTAAATCTGCATGTGCTTTCTCTATCAGATCATGAGTACCTACCTACCGTCTCGTTACAATTAACTAACACATTTTGAAGGTAGTTCATGTTATTTACCATTTGTATAAGCATTGTATATATAAGAAAGTCTTGGTTCCACCTAGCTTTTTCGCAGTTAACTCGTCCTATTTACTCTTTCAAGTTGCCACTCAAGAGTCTTTCTAGTAATCTTTGAACTCCTAAAGGAATTTTAAGTTAATATTTGTAATGGATCAATATTTTATTATCTATATTCATTGGGATTTTTTTATTCCCTCTTTTTTCTATCTTGGGGAATTGTATAAGGTGCAAACTTACATGAAGATAAGCTGGACGCAAATAAGAAACAGAGATCTCAATAGAAACCCCTGAGCTAGGAGAACCAGTACTAAAGAACACCGCAGATCCCACCAGGTCAACAAGCGAAGTTACCGCTCCGCTATGTAGAAAATTACCCAAATCCTGCCATCAAATTGCATTTATATTCACATGTTTAGATTTTTTTACAAAAATAAACAGTACTCTGAAATATGAAGCAAATGAACTGTAAATTTTTAGATCTCTTGCACGTTGGCAAAAGAAAACTAATGCCAATAAAGATGGCCGTGAGGATAAAAGTTAAAATAATAACTATGCTTTAAAAACAATAAGACATTCTCTCGCCCTCATCTTCTCAGTTGAGTAAGTATCGACGTTCCGGGGCATAAATGCACTTTTCGCTGATGCATTGGAATCAGGACTTTATGTTTATACAATTAATTAAAATTCAAAGAACAGAGATTTTTCCATAATGCTTTTGAAACCATAACTGCAAGAAACCAATTACGGTTTTTATGTCTAATTTTCTAATATCTATAAGAACGTATCAGCTACGTTTGTGCCTGATAAATTAAGGCGGAGGATGGCATCGGTGGTGGACATCTAGGGTATAGACTGAGATCTAGTACAGGACGATGAATAAAGAATCCTAAAGAAAGTGAAAGGAAAATATATAGAATGCTTGTAAATAGTTGGTCTTAAAATTAAGGAACAAATGTCCTATTGTTGTTGCCGTAATTATGAACGTATATATGAACTCCAGAAGTACAACGAGGAGATATATTTTAGCTTACGTTGATGAGGCGAGGAGGAACTTTCATTGAGCAAACCAATCTTCCACGCTGGACTAAATCAACATGGATTCCCTTAACGGTGAAGGCGTCGAAGAATTTACAAGCCAACGCCTCCTCCCATTGCTCCAGCTTCATCGCCTCGTCGTCGCCGTCTCCTCCCTGAAGCCACTTCTCGACTTCATTCAGATCCATCGTTACTCCTCTCTCTCTCTCCCTCCCTAATGCCCTTCGGTTCTCTGCGTGATGCGTGCATAAATAGGCAAAGGATCGCCAGCCTCGCGAAATGAAATCACTTGCGTAAAACTCTTAAAACTTCAAAGTAAGGCCTTGGGGTTTGTAATCCACATGGTGTTGCGTGTGCACATACAGGGGAAGGGGGACGAATCTCTGCCGTAGGGATCGAGCGTGGGATCTTGTCAACGCTGATCTGGCTTTATTCACCAGATAAAATGCTCTGTATACCTATCAAGAAATGAGAAAGTAGGTAGGTGGAAAAGCTAGTAAATCGAGAGATAGAACGTGGATTAGTGTAAAACAATGAAATTAGAAGATAAACGTTTTATTTGACTAGTCTCTAAATTATACATTGCGAGTGAATGTTGGCAACGTGGAAGAGGCCTTAAAAGCTTCAAGGAAGAAGAAACTTCAAGATGTAACTAGATACTTATCGCAACAGTAAAATTAAAATTGTATGTAAATGTAAAATCGTGTTTAATATTTCCAAAAAAAAATATTAAATAAATAAGTAAAATTAAAATTGCATCCAAGATGTCTAAGAACACTAAAAATTAGTAATAACACTTGAATTCATCCATTCGAAAGTAAAATCCCATCTAAATTTTCAACAGTAAAATGCACAAGTGTATTTTCATCAGGTACTATAGCCTTATAATATTATATTTTCATCTTTAGTCAGGAAAATTTTTCTAAATACAACACTGGTGACCATATGACGCAGCGCAAAAGTGATAACCTCGGAATCCACTAATGAGTGTTCTCTGAATCCACAAAGAACTATCTACGAATTCACGATGAACTTCGAATCCACAAAGAAAATATTAAAATAAAAATTTTATTGATGTAAAGTTATGCCTCTAGGGCTTACAATTCTCAGCTTAAATAGAAAATAAACAAGACACCTAGAAAGACTAGAATTACAAAGAAATAGAAAGTATCAAATTCTATCCTAAAAAGACTCCCTATAATAGAGGAAGAAAGTATCAAATTCTATCCTAAAAAGACTCCCTATAATAGAGGAAACAAATCATGAATCAAAATTGAATTTGTTTCCTAATCTAAAAAGACTCCCTATAATAGAGGAAACAAATCATGAATCAAAATTGAATTTGTTTCCTAATCTAATTTGATTCTAATATTGAATTTATTTCCTAATCTAATTTAACTCTAATAATGAATTTATTTCCTAATCTAAATAGACTCCAACTTTATTTCTAAAAATAAACTAAAAACTGATTATTTTTAGATTTCAACCAATACTGGGTATTGCTGATGAGATTTTAAAAATCTGACAATCTAGTTGGCTTCTTCTAGTCGAGATAGGCGATTTATATATATAATATGTCAGAATCCGCCTTCTAGGTTGGAAGATATGATTGTTTCTTTGAGAAAGTCAATAATACATATAAATCTGTATTTAGTTCGTGATTGTCCTAATCTTCCATGAAATTGTCTGTTAAACAACCTACATCAGTCTCTCCTTGTTGAAAGAAGCTCGACCTCGAGCTTATATTTGCTTGAATAGCAGCTTCATCGATAAATATCTTTCTTAGCATGCATCGATCAGCATCCGCCTTGTACTTCGCATTGATTTTCTCCATTTGTTCTTTTACCTTCTTGGTTTGGACTTCTTCTGAATCAAATTTGTGTATTATTCTTTCCGACATCATGTGTATTTTATTGGCGGCATGTGGATGTGCAATTGACTTGAAAAACTCCTCAAAATGTTCCATGTTGCTTCTCATATTCTAGTGCTGAAAGTATCATCAAAATCATCTTGAAATTATTCACAATCTTTGGTTCCAGAGAAGAAAATCCTGAGTCACACTCCATACACAATTCTTTCATCTCCTTTGTCTCTAGCCCTCCACCAAGAAATTTACACATATCATCAGTTGCCTCACTCTCTAATTTATCCTTCTCCTCCATCGGGATAACATCAATATATGCAATATCACTCTCAACCGATTTGAGAATATCATGCATATCATCCATCTTCACTATCATATCACCATAATGAATCTCATGCATAACGAGTGTTTTCACCTTAGGAGGAATTTCGGCATGGGTACGTTTTTTATTTCCAATTACAACTAAATCATAGACTGAAATTACCCTAAACGGGGGAGGGGGGTTGAATAGGGTAATTGCTAATCTAATACGATTACGATGCCGAATTAAAAACTTTACAATGCAATATCCTAACAATATGATATACAATGAGATATGCAAGGATAAGCAAAAGGCAATAGGCGATATAAACAATAATCACAAGATATAAATAGAAATAGTGTGCCAAAAACATAATCGCAAACAAACGATATGATCACGGAGTTCGGTCTAACACTCGACCTACGTCTCCGCTCCTCACCTCGAGGAGATCTACACTATCTCAAAAATACTACACAGTTTTCAAAGTTCACCACAAATTTTTACAATGCACACGTTGTGAATCCCACAAGCCACACTCCTCTAAGTGTTGGACTACCTGTGTTTGGAATTACAACTTCTCCCTAGGCATTACAACCAACTCACTCCTCTTAGTATTGACTTCGGTCTCTCTCCAACCACTTCTCTAAGTATTCTAGTGTATTATAACGTGTTACAACGATAAGTGCAAATAAAGAATTTGTTCTCCAATACAAATGAGAATAAAATGTAAGCTCTCTCAAAGAATCATTCTCACAACCTAAATATACTTAATGTGAAATACTAAATCTCAAGTGGTTGTGTGTGAAAACAATGAGTAAAATGAAAATTAAACTCAATTCAATCTAGCATAAAAACATGAGAACCAAAATATTAAATAGCTAGATGAAGAGATTAGAAAAATTTCTCTAAAACAAAGAGAGGTAGAGATTTGAAGATGAAATCCTTCTCTTTGTAAAAACTCCTTCAAACAAAGAAACATCCATGATTTTCTCTTAAAACCCTTTAAACAAACTTGCAAAACCTTTTTCTAAACTTCCATCATGAAACCAATGAGTTATGAGGGCTATATATACCCTCTTAAAAGAAAACAGCCAAAAACTAGTCGTTACAGTCATTTTACCATTGATCGGTCGACTGATGAAACATATCGGCCAACTGAATTGTTTGAAAAATAAAAGGCTGGAAAATCACTCTAGTCGGTCGACTACAAAATGATATCAGTTGACTAATAAGAGGTGATCGGTCGACTTATTATAAGAATCGGTCGACTTATAACCGATACACAGGTTAGCTAAAATTTTGAGAAGCTGATTTTCTAATTTCAATTTAATATAGCAAATCAACTCTAAAAATAGTAAAACTTTAGAAAACATTTATACACATGAAGATAAACATGTTAGAGAAGAAATTTCTGAAATATCACTTCGTATTTGTGAAAACTCACTGACTGAAAAATAGATATTCCAGTTTCTGAAATTTCTTGAAGAGTTAATTTTGTAAATTTGATTTAAAATAGTAAATCAACTCCAAAAATAATAAAACTTGGGAAAATATTTATATTAGAAAAAAGAATTTCTAAAATATCATTTCCTAAGAGTGAAAACTCACTGTTTTGGAAAACGGTCAAAAATGCGAAATCATGAAATGCTTGGTTTTGATGAAATCTTCTCAAACAAGTTTTGAGATTCTTTTTAATGGATTAATAGACTTTAGAAAGGATGTAAAATAGTATAATCAAGTCTTTAATCCGTAAACACATTATTTTTCCAAAAATAATAAATATGAAACAAATGTGTATGTTTGTAAGTATATCTCTGAGTTTCATATTTATATGACTAAAACTTGTCTTTGTGGATAAATCGAAATAATGTGTAAAGGCAACGAAAAACGATAAATCGAAATAATGTGTGGGTATGATTTGAGCTCTAAGTATACCACATAAAGTAAACACCTAACCTACAAACACTATACCCAAGACAAATGAACTTCGTTAAGCTTGATCTGGGAAGAGGGATGAAGCGCGACATTGGATCTTTGACTTGAATGCGTAAAGGACTTCAATCCAAATTCCTTCCAACCTCCAATGGATATTATAGTGTAGGTGCAAGTCCAACCAAGCTCTAACTGGAGGATCTTTGTGGAGAATACCTAACAAACAAAATGCAAACACTCGACAAACGATGTTAGGAATTATTTGTTAATCATCAAAATCAGATTAGACAATACGCTCATAAACATGAGACCTAACATAGATCTCTTCAAATTGTTTCATATTTTCTGCTAAAGCCTCGTTGTTTGTCACCAAAGGTTTCTTCTTCTCAGTAGCTTTTATCTTAGATGGCTCCTTTTTCTGTAAGAGGCATAAGTACAATTCTGCGTCCATCCTTCTTAAAGATATAAACATTGTCTCTGCTTTTATAGATAGCTCCAATATCGAATTATCATGGCCTACCTAAAAGCATATGACAAGTATCCATCTTGACCACATCACACAACACATCATCAACATAGCTGTGACCAATAGAAAAAGGTACCCGACACATCTCATCGTTTTGCACATCATTGACCTTGCGAATCCAGTCGATCTTGTAGAGAGGTGGGTGTTTCTCTATCTTCAAACCTAACTTATTCATCATATGCCAAGAGACAAGATTCTTTATATTGTGACTGTCAATAATAACATCACAAACTTTCTGCATCACAGTGCATCTCGTGAGGAAGATATTGTGCTTTGGATGTTGTTCTTCTTTCTTTATTGCTTCTTTAGTACTCTTCCCAACTCCAAGGTCTTTCTTTGGGTCATTGTCGCTGTTGAATTCATCCTGTAGAGTCGAATCATGTCGCTGGCGACCATCAACGTAATTTTGAACTCCTACCGTGTTCAGACACCCTCCTACCGACGCAAGTCGCTCTATGGCAGTCTTCGTCTGATTAACATCGATCTTTAACTCATCGAACTTAGTTCAAGACATAGGGGCTTCATCACCTGTCATCGGATCGGAGGAATAAAGCTCTGATACCAATTGACGCAGCGCGGAAGTGATAACCTCAGAATCCACCGAGGGATATTCTCTAAATCCACAAAGTACGATCTCCGAATTCACGAAGAAAATATTAATATAGAAATTTTATTGATGTAAAACTATGCCTTTAGAGCTTACAGTTCTCAGCTTAAATAGAAAATAAATAAGACTCCTAGTAAGACTAGAATTACAAAGAAATAGAAAGTATCAAATTCTATCCTAAAAAGACTCCATATAATAGAGGAAACAAATCATGAATCAAAATTAAATTTGTTTCCTAATCTAATTTGACTCTAATATTGAATTTGTTTCCTAATCTAATTTGACTTTAATATTGAATTTATTTCCTAATCTAAATAGACTCCAACTTAATTACTAAAAATAAATTGAAAAATGTTTATTTTTGGATTTTAACCAAAACTGTGTATTACTCATAAGATTTTAAAAGCTGACAATCTAGTTGGCTTCGTCTCGTCGAGATAGGCGGTTTACATATATAACGTGTCAAAATTCGCCTTCTAGGTTGGATAATATGATTGTTTTTTTGCTGAAGTCAATAATACGTATAAATATGTATTTAGCTCGTGATTGTCTAAATCCTCCATGAAATTGTCTGTTAAACATCCTACATCAACAAATTAGTTTGTGAGTGTAGGTTATGGTTTTGACTTGACTAATTTGTAGGCGAAGGTTAATAGTTTTTGACGTGGAACTTATAGACTTGATGCATCCCGTTCTCATAGCTAATCAACTACGTTCTTCTCTCCTCAGGTTTTCACTCGGACTACAAACTCCATGTTATTTTTAGAACGGAGAGAGACAAAAGAATAGGATCATTCCCCTGAAATGCTATCAAAATTAAAAAGATCAAAGAACCCCGCACTTTCATTTCTGGTAATACAAATAGAAACTGACGTTCTAGATGAGTTATCGCTGTCTAAGAAAACTCTCCCATCTCCAAATATCCGTTCTGCCCCCCAATTCAAACGAACCTGATCTACTTCTTACATCGCCTCGTCACCAGCTAATTGAACTAAAATGTCAAACCAAATAGCCCGTTTGTTCGTTACCCAACTTGGACGCACTCTTTAACAAGATAACAAGATTTACTCCTTTGTGTATTCTGAGAGTTTATGGGAGGCTCAATTCAACATGGAGGAAATATTTTACATCCAAAAGCCAAGGTGATTACATCAACAAAAGACTTGGATTAGCATATGGCAGAAATCAAAGAAAGGTTTACTTTACTTGGCATTCTTCAAGTGTAGTACGAACTCTAGCTCAGAAATGTCCTGTACTTCATCAAACATAAACTTCCTTTTCTTCGTAACCATTTACCTTCTGAAAGCAACAATAATACAACACAAACAATTGTACAACAAGGTTCTTATTTTCTAATGGAGTTTAATCTGTGAAAACAATAACCATGGTTCCATAATACAAAGCATATGAAAGGCATAATTATAGTTTGCTAGATGCACCAAGATACTTTGTATAACGGGCCTGAGCTATAATTTTTCCGCCGTTTTTCTTCCTTAACTCTACAGTAGCAACTCCTACTGATCTTCCAGCTCGTAGAACTTTGGCTTCAATCTCAATTTCCTCCTGGATGATATTAACCACAGAGTAATATAATAAACTTCCCTTAGGAAGCATATAATGCAAAATGATAACAAAAGTTCTCAATATAAAAGAGACAGAAAACCAGCCTCATGGGTTATTGAAGGACAAAAATTACCTAGGAGCCTAAGGTGATAAAAATAAGGATTCCATATAAAAGAGACAGAGAAACCATCCTCCTGGGTTATTGAAGGACTAAAATTATCTAGGGGTCTAAGGCGGTAAAACAAGGATTCCATCTTCAAAAGAAAAGTGCATGTTAATTTTCAAACAGTGAAACAAATGCTGTCAAACTATTTTTAGCCTGCTTAGTTAACAACAGTCAAAATTTCTGAAACAATAGGACAAGAAATAATGATCAAGACTAACTTAAAGCTAGGCAGAGAGAGACCTGTCATTACGTGGAAACCTATAGGTAAATAAATACAAAACTCAATTCAATCAAAAATTCTTGAACAAGAAAGAACCAGGGTTTTTCACTCTTAACCAGAAGATGAATAAGTGCAACTATCAACCCTAATAGAGAATAAAATTACCAGAGGTGAGCCTCCTCAATTAAACCTATGAGCTCACCCACCACAAGCAAGCGCATTTCACCCATGGATGGTCCCAAGTTTTGCCAAATGAAAGAAATTTTATGGAGCTCCTCTTCTCATTTCTCTAATACCATACGCAAGCTCTACAAACATTGTAATAACATTGTAATAGTAGCCAGCAGATATATCCTCCATAGATTGCCCCAAGTTATGACAAGTGAAATGAGATGGCGAGGTAGCAAAATTTAAATAAAAAAATTATGACAAGTGAAAGAAATTTTGTGAAGCTCCCTCCTTCCTCCTCGTATCTTTAACAATATTCTACATGGTATTTACCGCTATTGATGAGTAATGGAAAAATAGCGATCTGTTTAGACTGATGTATAAAAATAAAAATATATATATAAAAATTGCACTCTTCATTTAAAAAATAAGATAGAAATGTCCGGCTTTACACCAGAGCACTTCACATACTGGCAAACTCATATGTCTAATACTAGCTGCAATCGACATGCAAATTTCACACAAGCATTCTTCTCTTTCCTTAAATAAAAAAAGAAAATCTTATTTATAGAAAAACTAGGATTACAAAAAAAACCTAACTAAAGTAGAGATAACATCAAATAACATCCTAACTAAAAGAATATAACATTAGATAAGATCTTAACTAGAGGAAAGGATAAAATTAAATAAAATCATAACTAACTTATCTAATCCTAATTGAACTAAATCTGATTGAAGCTTCATGAAATTTTCGTTTATTTTTTTCAGAGTCAGATCTAAAGCAATCCTGTATCAAATACTCTCTGCCAAAAAATACAAACTTCAACAAAGTTCTAGCTAAAGCCTCTAATCTCAACTAGTTGTCAACTTATAACCAGCTCAAAGAGATTAAAACATTGAGTTATATTAGTTGGTCAAACCCACCTCTACTAAGAATTTCCTCTCAAACTAGAGAAATTTTCGTTTATTTTTTTCAGTGTCAGATCTAAAGCAATCCTGTATCAAATACTCTCTGCCAAAAAATACAAACTTCAACAAAGTTCTAGCTAAAGCCTCTAATCTCAACTAGTTGTCAGCTTATAACCAGCTCAAAGAGATTAAAACATTGAGTTATATTAGTTGGTCAAACCCACCTCTACTAAGAAATTCCTCTCAAACTAGAGAAATTTTCGTTTATTTTTTTCAGTGTCAGATCTAAAGCAATACTGTATCAAATACTCTGCCAAAAAATACAAACTTCAACAAAGTTCTAGCTAAAGCCTCTAATCTCAACTAGTTGTTAGCTTATAACCAGCTCAAAGAGATTAAGGGTGTGTTTGGATTTCAATGGGGTTAAGGGAAGTTAAGGGAAACTAGGTGAGAGAAGGGAAGGAAAGGGAAGGAAGTTCTCTTCCCCTTGGTTACACCCCAATTTGGGGGGTAACAAATTTTATACTATTAAGGGGTGAACCAAGGGGAACTAGGGTGAATAACTTCACCTCCTAAATGTTCCCAAACAAGGTGAATGGTTCCCCTAACTTCCCTTCTCTCTTATTCCCCTCAATCCAAACAAGCCCTAAAACATTGAGTTATATTAGTTGGTCAAACCCACCTCTACTAAGAATTTCCTCTCAAACTAGAGAGATCCCAATCAAGGATAGAACCAGCGTGCGCTGCTTTATATCCCTCGAGCATCATTCCCAGGAATCTTAAACATTACACCATGTAATAATGAGAGAGCAAGATAAAATCCCATTAATAAAAACATCTGTACATCCCATCATTGATCAAGCAAAATGTAATTAGCTAAAGGGATCAAGTAATATATAACTCGCTTCAGAAGGTCCCTTCATTTCCTATATCCATAACTCTTGGTGGCCTCTATATCAATATACTAAAAACAAACTCCAATTTACACATGGAGCACACTTGAGTTCTCGCCCTTTCACTAAGGGCCGGTTTGGTTCGCCCAAAGACAACAGAAAGCTATGGAAAACCCTCTGTAACACATCCACCCAGGAAACTGATCTCCTAAAAAGTTTTCTAAAACTTTGTTTCCCAGGACAAAATTATAGCAAATAGGTTTCTTAAAACCTTAAACAATGCCGGCATTTCCAAGAAACCAAATTCTGAGCTTTTTGCTTGGAATTCATTGGAAACTTTATTTCCTGCTTCCATTCCCCCTTTTTGTTTTTCCTATCTTTTGTTTTCTTGAAAATTTCATAGTTGAAATTGGATATTCATTTGTATACTCTATTTCTTCCGTAAAGTCCAATTGGAAATGCTTCATGTGTGGGTTGATTGCCAATTACGTGCTTACAGGTATACCCTTAATTAATTGTCAATATATGCAATTGAAACTCCATGTTTGATTATGTTGGAGTCAGTGTCTTAAATGTCGACCGTCATGTCGGACATGTCGGATTTTTGGGCCAACCGACAAGATATGGAGCTTTTCAATGTGTATTGTATTTTCAGAGTTCATGTCGAATATATCGAGAGACATGTCGGCCATGTCGGCCGATTTTTCAGTCTAAAAAAGTAACTGGTTTTTATGTTTATATAGGTTTGGGTTTAAATTCTTAATTGTTTTTATATTGCTTTCAAAGACAAAACCCGATCAGTTAGAGGAAATGGAAACAAAAGATCAAAGTCATTTCCGTCACTCATCTTCTCTCTCCTTCGACATCTCATCGATCTCTTCTCCGATTTGATCTTTCGATATCAATATCGGGCGATCTTCTTACTCCTTAACCGATGACATAAGACTTTCCTTTTCTCACCTCTTTCCTTCAACATCAATCTTAGACATCATAAATTATGTATTTTTTATATGTTTAGATAATATAATTTATTAAGTATGTTTAGATTTTATTTATGATATTTATATTACACATGCACACCATGATATTTTTTCATGTCCCCCAACATATCTCTGATTTTCGTTATCCAGCATGAATTTTAGCCGTCCGACATGAACCTAATATCCGACATTTAAAACCTTGGTTGAAATAGTCATTCCTCGAATTGTGACATCTTAGTTTTGAGTAAATATCAATTGTTTAATTGCAAGTCTTGTCTTTGTTTAACACTCTATATTCATGGATATTAGCCTTTATGCGAGGAAACTTGTCGATGGGTGTTTATTTGCACATTTCCTAATATGTGAGGAAACTTGCCAGTGAGACATTACACTTTACGCAAGGAAACTTGTCGTTGGGTGTTTTATAAAGCATGCATGTGACCATTGATGAATCTTGTGGTTAAGAGGATTTGAATCCTAAATATTAGAGTTTGATTCTTTATTGACAATATCTACAATTCATTTCGATTAGCAGCATTGTCAATTCCTTTTTGTTCTATAGTCGTACCATGGATATTATTGTGGTTGCCTACTAAGCCATTTGCTCAATCCTATTTGTTTCTGCACCCGTTCGCAAGAAGCGAACATGTCAAAGGCATGGGGATTGCAAAGCCCGAAGAAGTTTAGCTGAAATGCGCAAGCAAGAAGTATATAGCTAGTTCTTTCATTTTATAGTATTGTTGTGATGTAATATGTTATAAATAATGATGATTTACATTATGTTCTTGAACACTATAGTGCTATGTTCCCTTATGCCCTTTTTTGGATTTACGATAATTCTGTGGACTCTGCTGTCAGCCCTATAGCTCTGGGAGTTGTGTATTATTATTGTCATATTTCGTACTGTTGCTTTAAACAAGAGTGTATATAAGAATTAAGCAAGTCAACCCTCCCTCTAATGCCTTGGTCATGCCTAATTTTTTATATCTTCCTGGCCCCACCTCGGTATCAAATTTTGGGGCCATTACAACATTAATAAGTTTAAAATTTTCATTAATTTAGAGTTAAGAGAAGGGGAGTTGAGTGGTCATTGCAAATTTGCCATAATTGTCAATTACGTTGATAATATAGTGGGGCATATAAAGCTTTAAGGTTGGTGCCAGAATGCCTCTCATTTTCTTAACCCACTACACCATTAATACCATTAATATAATTGTCAGTAATTATGACCAATCAGCTCCCCCCTCTCACAACTTCAAATTAATGAAAATTTTAAATTTACAAATACTCAGTGATCGTATAAAGCTTGCTTTTTGGCAGAATTTGATACACAAGGATAAGTAATTTTCTTGGTTGTAAGTAGTGCTTGTTTTACCTTTTTTATTACTTTTTATGTATATATTAGAGTAGCCATTACAATTAATATTGATTGTATTAAGTAATAATTTCTAACTCTTTTTTGCTTCTCTTTTATGCAGTGCTTCGAAGTTTAGGGAATTGAGGTTAGTGGGAAAATCCTCTACCAATATGTGACGCTTTCTTCTCCAATTAAACTTGCTATTCTTTGTTTTTAACTATACCTATACTCTCGAGGTATGTTACTTTCTATTTGCCCTTTTCCCTTTTGCTATTCTAATAATGATGAGGAAGAGAGCATATAAGGAAGATCTTATTGTCTATGGCAGTGTTATCAACGCGCGAGGTACAATGGGACAAAAAAGTCTCTTTACGAGCACATACAAAAGGTGCAATGCAATGTGTGCATCCTAGTAAAGCGAGGAGTACACTGTAGACATAATTTTTAAGAGAGATAATCAAGCATGAAAGAAGAAGTTTATTAATTTTTCTTAAAAAATGTGTCAAAATAAGTAATATCTAATACAAATCACAAAATAAAGTCTTAATTCCTAATACTAACACATCCAACATAATAGCGAAGTTCATACCTTTTCAAATCAAAAGTCAAATCAAGGCTAATAACGAAGAAAAACTAAATAGTAAACAAGAATTAGTTAGGGTCCTCAAGGTAGCTACTGAAAAGGTTTAAGGGGTTTACATTCCTTATTAGGAAGGGGGTTAACGGGTATAAAGACCCAATTAAATGTTAAAGAACAAAAATATATGAGATTATGTCTTGTGTACACACTGCAAGAGGCGCAGCCACGCAGGGTACTTGCAAGGTGCAAAAGGCACTGCCACATTAGACGTGGTACACTTCACCACTACCTCGCATCATAGGGCGCATAAGGCATATGCCTTTGATAACATTGGTTTTGGGTTTATTTTGATAACTTGTTCTACTAGAGTTTTCATCCATTGTTTATGTTGGGATTTTCTCAGCATCTTATCTTAATTTTAAACCTCTTTTGCTTCTTTTCGATGTAGAAGTTGGAGGTTTAGGAATTTGAGGTTGGTAAGAGGACACATCTATCTATACACAACACTTCCTTTTCTAGTAAACCTCACTAATATTTTTCTTTTTAAAAATACCTATACTTTCGAAATAAATTAATTCCTATTTGCCTCTTTCCCGTTTGCTATTTTGGTAATGAAGAGAGCATATGAGCAAGAAAATTCTCGCATTACATGTTGAAATTCAAAGACTTGAAAGTAATATGCAGAAATAAAAGAATAACTACTTACAATCAAGAAAATCAGCATCAAAATTCAGTAGAAACGCAAGTTTTATACATACCACTAAGTATTTATAAGTTCAAAATTTTCATTAATTTAGAGTTGAGAAAAGGGAGAGTTGATTAGCCATTGCAATGAGAACAACTATGTTGATGATATTGTGGGTTAAGAGAGATGAGGAGCATCGGATTGTGAGGGGAGAGAACTGATTGGGCTAGCACTACGAGGGGAGAGTTGATCGGTTTCAGAGAGAGTGAGAGAGAAGACATGGTTTTTTCTACAAAGAAAGACATTACAGAAGGGGGATTTCATGAGGTTGTGTGTGTGTGAGAGAGAGAGAGAGAGAGAAAAAGGATTTAGATCTCTAGCTTCTTAAAGTGAGCATTTAATAAAGAGGAATAGCCCAAATTATTTGGCCATTATAGACATAAAACATCCTCCTGGAGTTAGAAAGCTCAAGTCGAGCGCTAAAAAGGTATAAATACTACATTTATCGCTAAAAGAGTATTTTAACCAAGGAAACAAAAAATCAAGAATTTCTTTGAAGTGAATCTTGAAGAGCATCAATGTTTATCTTGTAAGCGAAGTTGTGAATATTATGATATACAAGTTGATCTAGTGATAATTCTACTTTATATGTATGCTACGATGAGGATCATATGCAAAACCCCAAAAAGTGCATATAAAAAATCAAAGTCCAGGTAGAACATAATACTAATTATGACGTAGCACAGAAACATCTACCATGAGAGTATGACATGTTGGACTAATGTTGAAAATGGTTCAATCATTATGTGTATCACTGTATCCTTGTCAGAATTTGTATTGTGCCAGTGTCTCATGCCGTGTCCATGCAACATAATTGTTTAATTACAAACTGAATGCCAAAGAAGACAGGAAAACCTCTACTTATTTACTCCTAGTGCGCACCAGTACTCTAGTATTATGGTACTATTTTCCAATCCATCATTATCACAACCAACTACTATTTAGTAAAATGCACTTTGGTTACAAACAATACTTTCAGTCGTGCCAATATCTCTTAGTAAAATGCAATATCTTTTCAGAACTGGGTTTCTGATTCTTAAATAAAAGAAAACCATTACACCTCCAGGTGTACTACATTTTTGAATGCATAACTAATTTCCTCTAAAACTCGTTTCCTTCAAACAATCATCTAAATAAAATTTCCTCTGCAACACCCACTGACAGTTCTTCCCAGAATGCATATATATCTATAACCTTCATTCACCTAATTGCCCACAAATTGCATTCCCATACAATATGTTTTACAATATAGCTTCAGTTACTTCTAGAAGAATACTGAAATATTCATGCTCTCAGATGGCATGATCTACTGCTCCTCCAGAACTAAATTATGAACTCATTATAAATTATAATCAATCTGAACTCTTAACTCTTAACTTCCTAATCAAATAGAATACGTTGCAAAGTTACCAAACCACTATGAGAAAATCTTTAAAAACGAGCCTCCATAAATTAGTTAGTGACTGAGGCCCCCATCATAATTGATCATTCATCCCCATGTTTTACCAGTTTTCCCCAGCCTCAAGAAAAGTAACTGTTGCCCAATGTCTCATCACAACCAACAAGTTGCATCAACAAAACAGAAAGTTAACTCTTGTTCAGCCATTTTCAAAAGTTCCAATCTACATTTAGCTCAGAATGGCGCTGCATGGTTAGCAGAAATTTATCAGTTTACATTCTCTATCTCCTTTCAACAAGTTTGTATTTTGGAGCATTACCAATAGCAACTTGAAGAATATTACATGACATCATTTCTTCAGTGCATCTCTATAAAAACAATTCAATTGTTGGCATATTCTCTATTCTTGAGAAACCCTCTGCATACAAGAACATTGATCCACAACTAGTTTAGCAATGGCCTTCATCAGAGGCTGATTCAAAACAATTGCCCCACTCATCTGACATGCAGGAACACTTTGAATATACAAAGTACTCTTGATGAGAGACAAATATTTCTCAACATTTCTCTTATTCAACAGTCCTTGCCTTCTTATATGATGGGACTTTGTAACCTTTAGGTGATCTATGATGTGGCTTTGTAACCTTTATGTGCTACTGCTCTATTGGAGTACTTAGCAAGTTAAAGGGGATTCTACTACCACATAAACCTCTCATCACCGAAATGACACGAGCCATTATTCCAGAAAAGACAGAACTAAACTTAGCCATTCAAAACCAGAAATAGAAACAAGGAAACTTGGAGGGTAAAACAAGACATCTTTTTATACCAAGTTAATCAACATGAGAATAGTTTAAGGGGCTTGTTTGGTTGGCTTAAAAAACAAGGAAATCAAAGAAAAAGAAACATATTTCCTATAATAGGTTATTTTCTTGTGTTTGGTTCACTTCTTAAAAAGTAAGAAAGGAGATGAGATGAGATGAGTTGTCACCATATTATTGGATGATGTGGGTGAATTTTTAAGAAACAAATTTCATAACTTGTTTTGAGGTTGTTTTGTTGGCTAAATAAATAAGAAAATCAATTATAAGAAATTTATTTTCTATAATAGGTTCTTTTCTTGTGTTTGGTTAATTTTTAAAACTAAGAAAAGAGATGATATGAGATGAGTTTTCATTATATTATTGGATGATGTGACCCATATTTAGGGAAGCCCATTTCATGATTTTTTTTTTTTTTTTTTTTTTGGGGGAAATGGATGGAAATCAAATTTTAATGAGATGGATGGAAATCAAATTTTTTTTTTGAGGAAATGGATGGAAATCAAATTTTAATGAGATGAGATGAGTTGTTATCATATTATTGGATGATGTGACCCATTTCTTGTGTTTGGTTCATTCTTAAAAGTAAGAAAGGAGATGAGATGAGATGAGTTGTCACCATATTATTGAATGATATGAGTGATTTTTAAGGATGGAAATGGATGGAAATCAACTTTTAATGGTTTCGGGGTCCTATTTACTTTTCTTTGATTTAAAGAAACCAACCAAACAGCCCCTTAGAATATGAAATATTAAAGTTATGGAAACTCTTATTAGCGGACTAAGACTACCATATATATAATTATAAACTTAAAAGCTTACATAAAATTACCGCTTTTTACAAAAAATGACAAATTAACAAAAATAGATATTGTCCAATAGCTAAATTACACAATATAGAAGTCCAATGCTTCAATCATATTAGAATAGAAGATCATCAAGATCATGGCAATATTCACGATAGGCAAGAAGATCATGTTGACATCCACAATACACAAGAAGATCATTGCAACATTCCTAGTTGACAAGAAGATCATGACAATATTCGACATGTGTTGCAAAATCAAGGCCCGGACCACAGATAGCATTTTCCTTTTGTACAAATTCCATATCTTTTTATTATCAATGATACTTTTCCTTTTATAGCTATATGTAATAGGAAATATAATTCATGATTGTTGTGATTACCCATGACTGATGGAAATCAATTTTGGTAGGTTTATTTTTCAAGTTTGTATTAATGTTAATGAATAAGTAGATATCTTCTGCCGGAATAAAAAAAACTCAAGGTGTTGACACAATTATTCTTTCGCCTTCATCAGTTTATTCTTTAGAATCACATTACTAAATAATAACATATGTAGTCTAAAGCTTTAAAAAAACTCATATCAGGAAGCTCACAAGAACAATTTGCACTAGAACAGCAAAATTAAAACTGACCCATGAATTATAACCCAAGAATTACCAGCTACACGTCCTCAGAACTGAAAAATATACCAGCATACTTACATTGGCAAAGGCTGCATCCAAGTAAGCAACGCTGATCTCCAAGGGCGAGCCTTTGGTCTGCGCCCCCGCAGTGAAGAAAGCAGCGGACCCCACCAGATCGATCAGAGACGCGGTGGCCCCACCGTGAAGAAACGCGCCGCCGTTCTAGACGACGAAAATGAAATCAAATTAAATCGAAGAAAATCCGAGAAATTGAGGGGGAAATGGTGAAGATGATTACGAGAAGACGAGGGGGGACTGTGAGAGTGCAGAGGAGGCGGTTGGGTTCGATTCGATCGATTCTGAGGCCTTGAAGGATGAAGGAGTCGTAGAACTTAGAGGGGAGAGATTCCAGGGTTTGGGTTGAGGCGATCTCTTCGCCTGCTGATTCTAGGGATTTCTTCACTTTTTCCAAGTTCATTTTGGTCCGTCTTTTTCATTCGCTCTTCTCATTCACTCCTTTTATTTGTTGAAAACTCCGCCGATGCTGTTTGTCAGCAATGCGTGTTCATTTACTCTTTTTATTTGTTGGAAACTCCCACAATGTTGTTTGTGAGTGATGTCTGCTCCAAGTCAGGATAAAACAGAAAGATTGTATTAAGTAGTCGATGGCCAACATAAAATATAGTCGGATCCATATAAAAAATGAATCTTATTATATATTCGTTGGGACGTCCTCACCGTAACGTGTTGCATCAATCTCACCCCGATACAATAATAAGTAAGCAAGGATGGTTTGGTAGAGCATCCCTAGGAAGCGACGCATTACATCGATGTCACTCCGGTATTATGACAAATAAGTAAGGATGTTCTAAGAATCTACAATCCTCTAATAGGGTACTTAGTAGTATTAGGCATTGACTAGAACGGTCTAAGAAGGAAAATAGTAGGAGATTTTTACAAGAAAATAGAATTAGGTTAGCTACTTGGAAAATAGGTACACTTACAGGAAAGACAATAGAATTAGTGGATGTCATGATTAGAAGAAAAAATATAATTTGTTTATAAGAAACCAAATGGACAGATGAAAAATCTAGAGAAATTAAAACGATCGGATATAATCTTTGGTACACAGGTAAAGAGAAGAATGGGAATGGAGTGGTAGTTCTTGTAGATAATATAATAAAAAAGAAAGTGTTGTAGATGTAAGAAGAGTTGGAGATAGAACAATACTAATAAAAGTTGTCTTAGGTATAGAGGTTATTAATATTATTAGTACATACGCACCACAAATATGCTAGCCCGAGAGTACTAAAAGGGAATTTTGGGATAGATTAGTTGAATTAGTTCAATGAATCCTATTTGAAGAGAAATTATTTATAGGAGGGGGTCTTAGTGGGCATGTTGGTAAGGATAATAACGAATATGAGATGATACATGGAGGTTTCGGGTATGGAGATAAGAACGATATGGGTAAATCAATTCTAGAGTTTGTAATACTATATGATTTGATAATAGAAAATACACTTTTTAGAAAAATGGATGAACACTTAATAACTTTTAAAAGTGGTTTTAATAATAGTCAAATATACTTTTTTCTTACTAGAATGGTGAATAGGTTAATACGCAAGGATTGTAAGGTTATATCAGGAGAGAGTTTAAGTACATAACATAGATTGATGGTCTTAGACATATCTATTAAAAAGTGGAGTAGAAAAACTAACATGAACAAAAGACTAAGAACTAAATGATAGAATTTAAAAGGAGAGAATTTAATACATTTTAAAGATAAGATAATGAAAGAAGATATATGGAATATAGATAATGAGACTAATATTATGTGGAATAGCATGTCTTCTTGTATGAGGAAAGTGGCTAAAGATATACTAGGAGAATTTAAAGGTTATAGATTAGACGGTAAGGAGAGTTGGTGGTGGAGTGAGAGTGTACAAAAGCTTTAGAGAGAGAAAAAAAACTTTATATAAAGAGTGGCAAAAGTGTAGGAGTAGGGAAAACTTAGAAAAATATAAACTAGTAAGGAAGGAAGTTAGTGAGAATAAATACAGGGCTTGTGAAATTTTTTATAAGAAGTTAGAATCTAAGGAGGAAGAGAAAGACATATATATGCTTGCTAAGATTAATGAAATGAAGAGTAGAGATTTGGGTAATATTAGGTGTATTAAAAAGTAAGGATCAAATAGTTTTAGTGACCGACGGGGAAATAAAAGAGAGGTGGATGAGTTCAATTATTTAATAATAACCAAACAAGTACGCAAAATAGAGATTTTGACCATATAGCGAAAGATAGGAACTATAGATATTTGTTTGGGGAGAAAGTTGATGTCTTCATTGATGTAGTCATTACAACTTCAGTCGTTACAATAACAACAAAAAAGGATAGTCTTTTTATAAGACTCTTACACAATGAAAACGAAAAAAATACAACTCTCGTCTAAACAAACGCAACGAACGTTTATCCTCCACTACTTGCGTGGGATCTTGGCCTGTGACGGGAATGTTGATATCCGTGGACTACCAAATGATCAGATCAGATCCGGAGCTTTGTTGATTCGCGAAGGAATCAAAAAACCGAAGCAATTATCTCGGCAACAGCGAGATAACCACTCTTCTCGAGATTACCGCAACGGGGCAATTGTAAAACCCCGTATTTTTTTTTTTTACTATGAAGATATGTGAATTATTGGTGATAAATAATTTTATTGTGGTAAATGGCTTGAGGTCATGGATATACTGGATAACAAGTTATTAGAGATGTATGAGTGTATTTTTATAGAGTTTTGTACATTGGTTTTGGCAAATAAGCAAAACATGCATGAATCTGGAAAATGTCTGCTCAGTCGACTTATGAGTCGACCTATGAGTCGACTGACGGGCTGATTTTTAGTTTTTCTTTTAGTTTACGGGTTTTTTCGGTTTTGTTTCGGGTTTGACCGCTCATATATAATTTCTTTTACCCGAAACCAACCCCAAAACCCATCAGATCTCACAAAACCCAAAAC